AAGAGGAGAGAAACATAGTCACACAATTCAAGTGTCGGAAAAAATATTGTTTGTTATTTACAGTCTGGTTATTGAGAAGAGAAAAGTTCCAGCTTTATGTACAGTGTGAGGGAAGAAGAGAGAGGCTTCTTTATTCTGGACAAGCCTCAATACTGATGATATTGAGCTGCTCCCCAGAACACCTTCTGGCTCCCGCCTCGCATTCAGTTATCGTCATGGCAGCACTCCCATCACCTGAGCTGATGCACAGGGGGGCGGAGTCTTTGGGGCACTCTGAGGCGTTCAGGCACACACACTTTCCAGTTGATTCTAGGATTGAAAAAAAATATTATAGGAAGTGATGCAGTCGCACACATGCTCATATTTAAATACTAAAGGGGGGGTTTCTGTATTTACAATAATTAGGCCTTATTTTCTTGACAAATGTTTAGAAATATGACTCTACAAACTGTTTAAGGAATGACACTACAATAGTTGTTTGCATCAGCCTTCAGCCATAACACAGCTTGTAGCGGCTGCAACAAAATATTTTGTGCCAGTTTAGACAAAGTACACTCACTTTGTGTAACTGTTTGCCATTTATGGACCATGGATTATTATTTTAGTGTTTTGACATCATTTTAGAAGGATCACAATATGGATGGACCTTTTTGTTAAGGAGAGATGTTTTTGAAAAACCAGAAACAACTGTGACATTGCACTCTGCAGCGATGATTTGTACAGAGTTGTTGTAGATTTATTTCTCAGGAGGCACATCAGACTCACCCTGACAGACTGTCCCTGGTTTGCAGTCCGTGCAGGACGTCTCCTCTGGCCAGTTACATTCGCTGTCACTGACCAACGTGAAGCTCCGCCCCATACACTGCAGAGCTCCCAGCTGACACACACCGAGCAGACGGGTTTGACTTGAGCTGAGTTTGGCACACAACAGCAGGGAAGTCCTAAATAAAGACAAATTATAAAGAAATACAATAATTTAACTTTTTTGTAATTGAAAACATTTTGTATTTCCCTGTGTGAAATAATGGACTACACTCCTACTCACGTGCACTGAAATGGCATTTTGCACACACACTCATTTTCTCCTACTGTCTCCCACAGTTTACACTTCAGGCCAGATGCAGCAGGTGGAGCTGTGGGGACTGAAATGACAATGTAGAAAGCAGGATAAGTGTTCGTATGCTTCACATAACACTGAAACCCGAATGGTCGTATTTCTTTATCAATATGTTTATGAAAGGGGTACCCTGGTAGTTGGTACCCCATTCATTTCCCACTAATTAATCATTAGCTACTCTAGATCATGTGATGAGGAAGTACTCACTATCTACCCATAACTTAGTGGCTACCTAGTGGTTTGTTTCCCATTCGTTTCCCTCTAACTATGCAAAATTTGTGTACCTTATTGTAAAGTGTTACCTCAATATGTGTATGACAGGGTAAAGGGATAACTGTACTGTACCAGCTTTACAAAGCACGTCAGCTGGAGAGGGAGACCACAGCAGACTGGGACTGCACATGATCTCTGACACCTCTCCTTCCAGCAGTGATCCTGCAGGACATGACAGGGACACTCTGTCTCCAATCTGATAGGCCGCTTTGGTGGGTGTGGTCAAAACTTCCCTGTTGAGTGTTGGAATCTCACATGTTGAACCTGGGACAAGAAAAAAAAGTGTTTTAAGTGGAAATGAGGAAAATTTGAATACTGTACATTGAAATTGATAGACAACAAAAACCTGAAGCTTGATGAATATAAAATCTGTGCCTGGAGCAACATCTGCATTAAAAAACATCAGAGGTGGCAGTCATTTGGAGTCAACAATTGTTCCTGATATAGCCTGCTTGGGAACAAAGTCCAAGGATTTCTAGCCAATACAAATGAAACCAGATGCCCCTTTAAGATAGGATTGTGTCCCACGGTCCCCCATATGAAATTATCTTTGCTTTTAGATGTCACTGGAAAGCAGGACAACTGGCTAGCTTTGTTTCTAAAGAAAGTTAATGAACAATAATGTGTTGGGGACCCTCAGGAACTCCCCAAATGACCCCAAGAGAGAATCACAATTTTAGAACCATCAACTTCACTTCAAGTCAAGTCAAACGTACTTTTACAAACCATCTCTCCTGTCCTCCATTTCTGGTTTTCAGTGCATTCAGCTACAGCGTCTCCACTGAGGTAATGATTGTCTATGCAGGAGTACTCCACTGTGTTCCCAATCAGGTAAAAATCTCTGGGATTCTAAAAAAACAAACAGCAGCTGGGCTAAAATAAAAACTAAAAACCATTCAAAACATCCAGAATTAATTACAGACTTTTAATTTAAAGAGCTCCAAGTTTACCACTGAATTTTAATCTGGTACTGTACTTTTTAGTTTACTGGAATGCAAATATAGCATTGACCGTGCAAACGCACCTGAATAAATCCATTCCTGAGGTTTGGAGGCGGCCCACATATTTTTGGTGGAGGCACCGAGAGACTAAAGCACTGGGGCTCCATCACCCTGCACACAAACAACAAAGACACACAAAAAAAAACAGACAACGAGACAACTTGAATATTGATGTCTGATATTTCATATCTGTGACTCCCAAGATACAAATAATGATTAATAACATGTGTGGTTGATGGTTTTGATTAGACTTTCAGTCATAAAGCTTCCATACTAAACGATAACATTTTAAGTCTTGGTTTTTGATATGATAAGTCTTGGGTGGATCTCTGTCTCCACACCAAATGTTCAAAAAGTTTGTGTGTGTGCGTCTTTACTTTAAGTACTCGATTTCTCCGTCCTCACAAGGCTTCTGCTCCGCCTGCAGTCCGGAGCAGTAGTGACCTCCTCTGCTGGGGGCGGGGTTGTTGCAACTTCTGGTCCTTGATCTCTGACCTCCAGAGCAGGATCCCCAGGAGGACCAGCAGCTCCAGCTGCCATGGATCACCCCTGAAGGAGAAAAGGGAGATATCCTATTTTCTATTTGGTCTTCGATGTGAGGTAATCTATCAATCAGGTCAGCTACGTGCCTTATTGTGATGAATGCTTATCCTTCATAAAATCAAAACAGACGAGGAAAACATTCATCCACTGACAGTGTGTGCCGATAAAAACATGAGCTAATCAGACCTACTGTATTTACTTTTTGAACCAGGCTGTAAACATGTTAATTTCTGCTTTAAAAACAACTTTTTTGAACGGGGTGTATATGTGACTTCCGGTGCTTCTGCAGCCAGCCTCAACTGCAGGATTTTGCAGGATTTCCACATTGGCTTAACTATTCAACACCGGAAGTTGCTGCTTGATTTAAACCTGACTGAATCTTGATTAATCATGCAATTTGAAAAACAAAATACCACACTATTTTTACCCCCTTTAAAAATGTTGTTGAATTTTGAAAGACGACTATCACTTGTACTCTAAAGTTCTAAATATAAACTATCTTTAAGGATGAACCTTTTGTTGACACATTTTAAATGGAAAATATTAAGGTAGAGATAGGAAGGAACATTCATGGTTCCCTCTGAGTGTTTGTTTTGCTGACCTGGTTGTTCTCCGATCACAGCTCCCCTCTCACACGCTTGTCCTGTCGTTTCCGGCCGGCAGACACAGCGACACTCTGTGCCGGTCAGCAGAGGCTGCCCGTTGTTCTGGCAGGGCCTGCAGTGACAGGGATGCTCCTCCGCCAGGTACTCCTCTGTGGCTCTTTTCAGGTGGAGCTTCTTTAAACCTGCACACTGCACCTCCTTCACCAGCTCGTACAGAGGGCGCAGCTGAAAAATACATTTATGTTGTTAAGTGTGAATATAGAGAAAAGCACAAAAGACATTTTTTATTTATGCCTTTTTATCATAAGCAACCAAACATAAGACTTTTGCTTTACATATTGACACGATAAGAAGAATCATTTTGTGGCCTAGGACAGGGTTCTCAATTGTTTCAGCTTGTGACCCCCAAAATATTGTTCCCGAAACTGGAGATCCCCACTGTCCCTGAAGTAGGATAATGTATATAACGTAGCGCACAGCCACACACACATTCACTAACAGGCCTATCCAAACACTGGTAACATTAAAGAGCAAAATTAATTTCCATGTATAGAAATGACATGGTCCATTTACAAACAAAATAATTTAATTTAATTAGACGACCCCCCCCTTTGGGAACCACTGGCCTCGGACATCAGGAGAGCTTTTAGAAAGCTTTTTTAACTGGAGCTTAATGTTTCAATGAAAAAGTTATATTGCATTAAAATGTAATTCAGCTGTTTTAAGTAAGAGGAGCTGGTGTTAGCAAGGGGATAGTGAAACTTGACTGTAGAGGCAGTCATAACCTGGTCCCTCTCACCTTCTGGTCTACGACTCCAGGGAAGTCTTTGACAGACGACGCCCAGTTCTCGTAGATCTCTCCATTAGCTTCTGGGTTCTCCAGATCCAGAAGACTCAGAGCAGCAATGAAGGACGGGTCTCCTCCAAACACGTTGACCTTAATGGGCATTTTGTTGTTGCTGTGTCCTGTAGACACATGGCAGTGGTCAGGCTAGAGACAGACAAAAACAGACTATATTCATAGACCAGAGACACTCTGAAATAAGAACGTTTTGACCCACCGTGGCTGGATGCAAAGGCTTTGGTCAGTTTTTCACAGACAGTTTTTACTTTCTTCCTGAAGAAACGGCGTTTCACTTTTCTCCAACACCTCTGGTATTCTATATTTGTTGTACCTTTTAAATAAGACAGGAGCAAGTGATGAACAAAACTGCTCTGATTCTCAGCCCACAGGCGCCAAATACCAGCACATAAACCACCTTATTCAAACTCTTAGGAGATTATTCTAGCATTAAGCACACCATGTATGGTATGGCATGGCATGGCATGA